AGAGGGGTCGAGGCCCTTTATGTAGCCTGAAATCAATGTCGCTGACTCAGAAATTGGATGACGGAAAGGGTAAGGGTAGAATGCGTCTCTAAAGAACTGATTTTTCCAGATCAAGACTCGTTTCGGCCCCAGTAGATACCCCTGAGATCGTACTTTTGCGGAAGGGTTTGAGTATATAAGTTATACCTCTATCCATCGTCTCCATCATCCATTAAGCTTCATACTCGAATATTGTCCCATCAACTATAGCCTACATATTTCCAATGTCCACTTTCCTAGGGCAGTTTTCAGCCTGCCTCGGGCGCTCGAAGGTATGCTTTAATACCTTTCTGACAGACAGGCCAGAACTAAAATTCAAACCGAGACTTCAAATGAAGACATAGATCCATCCCTCGCAGCGCATACAGGGGAGCAAGGACCAGTGAAGACCTACTCTGGCCCAAGTCCTGACCGCTCTATCTTCTATTCACACGGCCAATCAAATAGTGGGCAGGTTGTAGATGGGGTATATACTCGGAAGGAAGAGACACAACAGACAGGTTGTGTCGAAGGACGCTTGGAAGTGATCAGAGTGGTAGAAATCCACTATCCGGACTACAAATAGGAAACAGCACGTCTATATGCCGAGATAAAGCAGAATAGAAAAACAACAAAGCAGTGGTATAGATATCAGGATATAAAAAGGAAACGTGGAGGCTCTGAGGCAGTAGAAAGATTTAGGCCTGGGCAGCGATAGCTTCACTCGGAACGTGAAGAAAACAGGCTCTAAGAAACTAAAGTATGTCAAGTACTCAGAACCAATACTTGCTGTAGGGTATACATTCTGAGCTATACTACTCCGGGAAGTGGCGATGCGTATACTTCGGCTTTGAATCCCAAGCCACTATATATTTACCGCTAATGTAGGTTACGACCCGCCGTCACATCCTCAAACTTCAGGGTTTTGGTCTAGATCTACTGCGCGAGCCTATGGATCAGGCAGTAGGATATATTAAGTGCTTAGATCCAATGGAAGCTCATCGGGCATAGAAACGCTAGGTATGATAGCTCACAGATCCTTTGGTTACTGTAAAACACAAATCAATTCAAAATATCGGAACATTTCACGGAGAACCTTATACTTTCATATGTAGAGAAAGACTAAGGAATGATGACAAGGGACGAATTATGGCTCTGGAAACGTAGGGAATAAAAGGCTTTTAGGCCTTAGGGGCGTTACCTCGGAAAATCTATAGATGCATGCCAAAACGTAGGACTGATAATCGAACTGTTGGGTATGCATTTTGAGCTATACCACTTTCGGGAAGTGTCAGTATCAGACAATAAAAGAGCGAGTTCTCTCCTTTATTCTTATTCTTCGATGTCAACTTAGTCTTCAACCACTTGACCTCTTTAATATGATGCTGGACTGTAACAGTTTAGTGATGGTGATCATAGACTGGTGTACGTATCACGCTTATATGATGGTTCTCGAGCTAATCCTGTCCCTTGTTAAGTTTCTAAGAAGAAGAAGCCGATCTTCTAAATCAGAGTTAAGGATGTTGCTCAGTACGCCACCGCGATCACGTCTTTATTCTGCGCAGAGGGATTGAAAGAAGACCTATACGAGACCCTGGCCGCGAGCTTATTGGATGCTCCTGAGAGTATCGTTAAAAAGCTTATGGATGAAGATGATGACTATATCCTGAAATCCGTCACTGTTGTTATGAAGCTTATTGTGAATGGGTTTCTACTACCTCCTAAATTGTACTCCTCTATACTCGGCATCTTCTTGGCTAGAGACGGAAATAATTTAACTAATCGTTTACTAGAATCCCGGACGACGGATGGGGGTTGCTTTCGGGAAAATCTAGGAAAGCTCGTTGATAAAGCTAAGCCTAACCAACCACGAATATATGTCTAAAGCTAAAACTTAAGTCCGAACCTCCGAAGACCTAGGTCGAGTGCACTCCATCACACTGTATATATAAGATAGTTGTCCCGAAAAATTAGCTCTAAGCTACCAGAAAATGAAAGTGATCAGAGTGCTATAAATCTAGTATCCGGAGCACAAACTGGAAATAGTACGTCTACGTATCGAGATGAAGAAGAATAGAGAAAAGGTAATATAGTAGTATATATATCGGGGTTTACAAGGAGTAGATAGAGGACGAAAGGCAATCGTAAGATTTAGGCCAATATCGTAATAGCCTTATCCGAGTAAGGAGGACATAGGAGGCTTCAGGAAAACCAGAAAGAGAATTAGAGTGTCGTGAAAAGTAATAGACGGGTTCGAGGGCGTCCTTCTTTGCTGTAGGGTATATATTTTAAGCTATACTATTTCCAGAATCGGTATGCTTTTCGCAGCTAGATACCATCAATTTAGAAGCTCCCTCCCCCGCCCTCGGGGTTTCCCCTTTTTATTTAATAGCTTTATGGTAGAAGAACCATCTTTCTGACATTTAAACTTAGCCTTAACCCCAAGAAGCACTTAAACACTAAAGAAGATAGCTATCTACGAGCGCCACTAGGCCGAAATGTATACCGTACAAAGTCATCGTATAGTAAGTGAAGAGTGTCTTTAACTGTGACTAAGCTCTAATAAACTTCCTAGTTCTATAACGATATCCTACGGGAGCCGACTATAATAGCTATCAAAGGGTTACTAATCTTAAGAACCCCTCTTCTAACTCTCGCTACCCTTAGGCAAAGATTTCTAAGCCAAGATACTAGTATAATTCTAGCCAAGTGCTAGGATTTACGGTACGGGTTATAACAGCTACCAAGCTACGCCGAGCTCAAAGGTTATGCTCTTAGTCTTTACACGTTACTTTTAGATATCTATTTAAAAGAAATCGTACACACTCTCAGTTACGACACTCGTTTTAAGCTATCCCTTATCGTTTGGCATTTCTATACGCCCCTTTATAAACCTTCCGAAAACTTCCTTTCATTCCTTAAAACCCCGATAGATAAGGAGATATCCGAAAAGTTCCATTCATTTCTTGAAAACCCGATGGATAAGGAGGTATAGGAAAGGCTTCATACCCGCTACTAGGATCATATTCGTCAACAGGTCCCGTATAATGATTTCATGTAGTCTTTTGACTTTTTGCTATTATCCCGGCTATTCATTTCGCAGCAGACCCCAAAGAATTTAGATAATTAAATAGGGTTAAGGATTAGCCGGTACTAGCTTCAGCATCCATAATCTCTAGCGAACCGGAGGATTCGATCAGACCCGTATCTACGGCAGGATCAATTCATAACTTCAGTCAATCCGAGCTTATCTATTTCCCGCCATTAGGTATCTGGTATAAGGGCAATCCTGCCATATCCGGCCCCTAGGCTTCTACATTTAGGCCTTATACCACACGAAAATTCGCAGAAGGAAGGTTGTGGATATCACTAGACACAGAAAACTGGGAATGCCATTCCGAGTAACTACTGCGATGCCCGCTACAGCTAATAATACCTCCCCGTTCACTACCACGCGAATAGGAATATTCTCTATACTCAGATTCAACAACTTCTACTGTTACATCGACCAGCCCTTATTCGCTTTCTACACGGCGAAAAAACTTAGAAACATATGCAGCCCGCAAGCAGTGCATCGTTTCCGCCAATATACGGCTCTTGTTACTATTCACATGTTTGTTAGTTTATGCCTGATTCCTAAGGCATCGTACGATTTAGATAGTTCTCTCCCTCTCTCGCCATCTCTCCTTCTTTCTCTCTCTCTCATGCTTAGTTGCTTCGTTGAATGCTACCACTGTTGATTTGATATCTCACGTGCCTAAGCGTAATAGCTCTTTCTATCTTCCATGACCTTACTAAGGATCCCCAGTAGGACTGGTAAGTCGTGATTTGCTTTAGAACTGTTGTATAATATAATGGCAGAATATAGTGTCATAATATTATGAACAAGCCATTCTGTTTCCTCTAGGCTCACATGATACAAAGTTAACCCGGCAGTTTGTTACCTGTTATTTGGGTGAAGAGTTCTTCCGTCGTCGTGTCTCGAAAAAAGACTCGAGCTCTTGCATCCAGTGGCCATCGTTTATACCTGTACTCTTCCTACTGCGACAAGAAAGTGGTCATATCCTGTATATGTGTGAACGAACTCTCAATATCGTACTCCACGATAGTTATGGGAACCTAGTTGTCATCGTGCGACCAGTCACTGTCGCCTTCCTGAACTCCTTCCTAGGTGTCAATCAGCCCTAAACGTTGCAGGAAGCCCGGCCGATTGAAATTCCATTTGGATGAGTTCCACATCCAAAGAAGCAGCTCAATAATATGAGGTAGTCGCAGATACTGCAAAATGCTTCTCACGAAGAACCCCTAATTGTTGGTTTCTCTAGGGTCAAGATTATTGGCAGTGTTAAGACTGTTGTAGATGAGTTAGAGCGGTGGGTGAATGTTGGTGATGTGGATGGGTTTAACTTGAGTTATGCCAGTCTGCCGAATACTTTTGATGATATTATTGAACTGCTACTGCCGGAGTTGTGTCGTCGGGGTCTGTTTTGGTCGGATTATGCTGTTAAGGGGGGGACGTTGCGGGAGAATATGTATAGTCTGCCTAGTCAGTCGAGACTTCCGGAGGCTCATACTGGAGCACAGTATTTCTGGAAGGCCGGTCAGGAAGTGCCACCGTACTTGGTGGATGAGTCGACATGAATGGGGTTGTTGTGTGTGATGAAGTATGGTAGTACTCCGGCAAATAACTATTCAAAATCATCTTATTAGTTAAGAGTTGAACGGTAGACCAAAAAATGATATCGGAACGATCACGAAAGACGAGTTGAGATACAATTGAAAAAGACCTTTCTGAAGAGGGGAAGTTACCATTCGCTGGTCTCTAGATTCCGACCTTGAACTGCCACTGTACTGAGAACCGGAAGGATTATAGCCCGCAGTCAGCAAGGCTCGGCAACAGGAATTCCCCCCGACGGGACATCATCTGAATCCAGTAAACAGTCAATACTTGAGCTTTATTTATTGACTCGAATGCTATGATTATGAAATCAACCAGTATCATAACTATAGCCTCGCAAATAAAGTATGTCCTCATCACAGGATGCAGCGACGGCGGCATCGATTCAGCCCTAGCCCAGTCATTCCATAACAAGGGCCTCCACGTCTTCGCCACGACTCGAGATACCTCCAGAATGCAAGATCTACGAGATTTCCCCAATATGACATTCCTCCAACTAGACGTGACTTCCCCCGAAAGCATCGCCGCAGCGTACAAGATCGTGGAAAAAGCGACGAATGGCAAACTACACTATCTCGTTAATAACTCTGGCGCAGGCTTCGTAATGCCTCTCTTGGACTCGGATGTTAACATAGGGCAGAAGGTGTTTGATGTCAATGTTTGGGGCGTTGTGCAAGTAACGCAGGCTTTTGCACCGCTTGTGGTTAATGCAAAGGGGACAGTTGTGAATAATATATCGACGGCGGCTTGCTTGGGATTACTATATCAAGGTATGTTGGACTGGGAACGCTATATCCAAGACTCCTATACTGAAAGAACTCAGGAATGTGCTGTAGTTCCAAAGCCGCGATTCGACTTATAAGTGAAACGTTGGCATTGGAGATGAAACCTTTGGGAGTGAAAGTGATTATTGTTATCACGGGTAACATTCGTACACAGTGGTTTAATAACTCCCCGAGACTTGAACTACCAGAGGGGTCTTATTACTCTTCTATTATAGATCGGATTAGGGTTTTTGTGAAGGGAGAGCAAGGTCATCCGGAAATGGAGCCCAAGATGTATGCGGAGAAAGTTGTGGGTGATGTCCTTGGTGGTGCTGAAGGGACGATATGGCGAGGAGCGCAGTCAAGTATTGTTAGAATTGCTATAGCTGTTATCCCGACTTGGTTAATAGTAAGAATCAGATTAAATTAGCGATGGAAGTTATCTTACTAACGACATGCAGAATGCACTTGCTGCTAGGGGGACGGGACTCGATACCCTGGAGCTATACCGGGAAATGTGCTTGGAAAATGGATATGAATCTCACTAAGATTTGCAACTTGTATCTAGTCTGTAGAGAGAAAGGCAATTTTCGTTAAATCACGACAAAAGTTTCAAACATCCCACCACCCTTCTAAATGCGACCGGTTGCATTAATCCTCAAGGCCGGCATTTTGTGCGGCTATAGCCGAAACATCGAACCCCGACCAGCCTAGATTGACAGTGGAACCGAAGTCAAATTCACCCTAGGTCGAAGCATAGCCGCCATTAGCGTCTACTGGAATGAGAGAACCGGGCGCTGCAGCCCAACCACCTTGGGAATCTTCATCGAATGCGATATAACGAATTTGGCTAACTGCTAAGGCAAACTTTTTGCAAGCCTTTCCATACCAACCTCCTATTTTACCATCTGGCCCAATTTTATTCCAGATCACGACAGTCCAGTTTTCTCCTTTACCTGGACTATCAAAACGTGCAACATATTTATATTGCTTCGCCTGCGTAGCTGGGACTTCAATGATGTTGCTTCCATATGGATTGCCGACGTTGCCCGAGTATTGCACGCTACTGCCGCTGGAGTTTGTGGTTCCACTAAATCCGAGAATCGAGGATAGTTCTCTGGGGCTAAGAACCTTTTCCGTTCTTACTCGCGATGCAGCGGTACTGCGGAGTCGATCATAGGCCTGGAAACATATTCCCGGACTGCAGATAGTGATAATCTAGCGGAGCACCCGTATACTCTAAGGCCAATCGTTTATTCAAATTCAATCAAGATAAGACGTTTCCGCGGGCTGAGTATGGATTTAATCTTGTGGAAAGAGAATAGAGACCACAGTCGTGACGGCGCCTACTCTTCGAGGTTAACTATGTCTTCGCAAAACGAAAAACAAAATGCACCCAAACACCTTTAAAAGCCAGATACTTGAGACTAACAAGATCACACAGGATCTGTCACGCGTGAATCAGTAGAAGCGTTTGAGAATAAATTTCGACACAGTAGACGCAGTCCGTTCATTACTGACCTCGTAGTGTTAAGGGCAAGGGTGAATGGCTGGCTCGTTCTCAACGTAGAAAGTTTTGACTAGTTAGGGCGGTCGGAGCGGTCGGGGCGGTCGGGCGCGCTTCTGTCCGCAAAGCTTGGGCGTACAGTAAGTAATGAGTTTCTGGATGTAAATATTTGCTAGGAGAAAGCCCTAGGCATACATCGCTGGTGGAAGCGTGTTCAAAGGAAGACAGACCTAGGTAGGACTTGAGTGCCGTCGAGAACTGAGGCGTACTTGGTACTTGAACACATAGGAAGACATCATTGGCACGTTGACGCACCCCAGGTGTTAGAGATAATGAGAGAGTGCAGACATACCAAGACTTGTGGAGATCTAATCAGAGTTTTAGGGCATGGTATGGCTACTATCGAAGCGAGTACTTTCTTTAACGACTGAATGATCTTGCATCTACCTCTGATTTGAAACCTGTTCTATGCGTTACTTCTCTTCTGAGTCGTAGTCACATTGATCTTATAAAGATGGAAATTGGGAGGCCTGCCGTGTCCTCCAAGACCATGGTGCAGATTGGAGACTCCCATCGCAAACGGATAACGCGGTAACTATCGCTCTGAGAAATGGCCATTTTCTTCTCGCTCAAGGTTTGGCTCCTGACTCGGTGGCTGTAGGGAGCTCCAGGGATCTTGACTCGAGCGATAGCGAGTGACAGCGATCCTTCAATAGAGTTCTGCCGTGTTGTACGACCAGTGGCTTCTTGCTCCCAAACCCAATTTGTACATAATTTCCCAGCCACGTGTAGGTGGATGCTTAAGCCTCCGTCCTAGCAACGCCGAGGCAACTAAAGCTTGATATGTTTTGCCCGCCGATTTGAGAAACACATTGCACCAACTTTCTTTTCTCTTGTTCCGCCTCTACCGTTCGGCGTTGTGGGTGAGCTACGAGTACCCATCAATCCTTCAGCTCGATCAAAAAATACGAGTATGACAAATCCGGATCCCGTCTGGTGGTAATGACCTATTATATAGCAGGCTTGAAATCCAGAAATGGTTGAATGACTAAGCGGAAGACGGACAATCTCCCGTTAACCAACTATCGGTACGGAGGTGCATTTCAAAAGTTCGGCGTCGCGCACCGACCACCACCTACTACACTAGGCGATTTTTAGCTAGATTATATTGTATTGTATTGTATTGCCTATAGCCTACCCTCTTTATATTCGTTACCACCATCTAATTCGATGATCTTTTTGATATGCGTAGGGATACGCTCAATCCAACGCTGGATCTTCTCCTGCGGCATCTCTCGCCATGCAGCTTGCCAAGCAATATAGGCCTCCTGCCTACTCTTTGGTGCGCCTTTCTTGGTTGTAACACGTTTCAACCAAGGCCAGGCAGGCTCAATTGGATTTAGATCAGGCGAATTGCCACACCAAATTAGCCGATTAACCTTAGCTGCATCAAAAACACGTTGTTGGATATAGTGGCTATGTGCCGGTGCTTTATCCTCTTGAACAAGCGTATTCGGCCGTTGAATAGCGCATTCCTTTGCAAAAGGTAATAGCTTTGGTATCAAAATCAGTTTTTGATATCGATACCAATCAATTCCACCCTTACGACCACGACCAAGCTTGCCAGTTTTCTGGTTAAATTTCCATATAGGCCTTTTACCAGCAGGTTGTCGTCGAAGATTCACACGACGCATCTGCGTTTCAAGCTCCCAATCAGCTTTTAAAATAGGCTCAATCTCGCAATTTAATTGCTCAATCTCTTGCTCAGATTCACGTTTCTCTTGCGCAGTTTCAGGTTTCCAACAATGATAAGGGCCTTTTTTATCATAGGTAAAGCAGCCCCAAAACATGAATTCACAAGCGCCTTTCCAACGCTCACGAATACAAGATCGAACAAAAGCTTCATCCTTAGAACGCCAAACTCGATAGCTACCACGTCGATGTAGTAGAATAACCGAAGTTTCATCGGACCAAATCACATTCTTCCAATCATCAAGTGTCCAAGCTTGGTGTTCAAGACACCAAGCAAGCCGATCAGCTTTCATCTTCTTCGTCAACCCAGGCTTCCGAGTTGGCTTCGTCTTGCGTAGGCCGGCGTTCTTGAGGATACGCCAAATAGTAGCAGCAGAGATAATGATTCCTTCCTTGCTAAGCTCACCAGCAAGATCAGCACAAGATTTCTCTCGGCCATAACGATCCAGACGCACCTTAGATAGGATAGTCGTCGTTGTTGGTTGGTCTTGCTTAGTTGGCCGGCCAGTACGTTGGGCGTCTTGTACAAAAGCATCTTGAATATTATTATGATTAACCTCAAAGCCTCGCTCGATTGCGCGTGCGTAGATCTTGTTGACAGCTGAGATAGATAGATTGGTAATCGTAGCAATCTCATGCGAAGATTTGCTAGTGTAAGCCTTTAAAGCAACCACGGTTGCTCTTGTGGCGATATCTGGCTGTTTTGGCATATTTTGAATAGCTCGTAGGTTGGTAGGTAGGTAGGCAGGTAGGTAGGTAGGTAGGTAGGTAGGTAGGTAGGTAGGTAGGTCGGTCGGTCGGTCGGTCGGTCGGTTGGTGGTAGGTAGGTGGCTATGGGAAGATAGAAAATAATATTATTAGGGGTAGTTCGACGTTACTGTGTGTATTCGTCTGTTCGATATGACTAGTGGTAAATATGGTGGTCGGTGCGCGACGCCGAACTTTTGAAATGCACCTCCGTAGTCAAAGGACAAAGCATGTAACCTAACTAGTATCGCCCCCCTTTGTAAGCAACAGGATTTGTAATTCTACGGACTCTGCCTTTAGCGAGCCCCGAGCGACCACACGGACTTCTGACTACAGAGGTGGCCGCAAACAGGCATATTGATGAGGTCAACAGCCTACGCGTCGCTTACTGCCTTGCGGTAGCTGAGCAAGCACTAACTAGGCTTCACAATATGCCCAAGACCTTATTGTAGCCGGTCCTTATGTCGACTCAGCCCTAACATCCGCGATAGAGTTATGCCACAGCTATATATACCTCCTGGGAGCTCGTCGGTTATGTGTCGTTCTAAAGCATCCATCCAGTTCATCATCGATTGATCTTAACAAAGTTAAAAAATTCACTCAAAGCATTTTACCACGGTCTTAACTAAGCCACTTCTTCGCGGTTGGGAACAAATTCAGCATCCTACCACAGCGCAACAGCATTTTCAATATGCGTGTCCTTGTTATTGGTGGCAATGGAGAGACTGGCCGTTTCGTCATCGATGAAGCATTGCAGCGCGGCATCAAGGTTACAGCCTTGATTCGAAATCCCTCTACACTTCCAGCCAAGGAAGGCCTAACCATCGTGAAGGGCACACCAGTGGAACCTTCGGACATTGAAAGGGCTTTCAACGCAGTCAAAGGCGACCTCCCAACTGCCGTGATCGTTACGCTAGCATCCCCGAAAGTAAAGGGGACTCGAATCATGACTACCGCGCACGAAAACCTCATCGCTGCCATGAAAAGCTATGGTGTCGCCAAAATTGCGACATTGTCTTCCTTTGGAGTTGGGTCTTCGTTCCCAAATATCACTGTGCTTATGAGATTCGCAATTTCCCACACCAGCTTGGGGCATACATTCGAGGACCATCATCAGGTCGATGAGACGCTCAAGAAGAGCGGATTGCGATTCGTGTTGTTTAGGGCAGCGAGACTGACTATGGGGAAAAAAGCGCCCGTTCGGTTCTTTAGCGACGATGGGAAAGGACTCGGTGTTTTTGCGGGCTTGGGTGGGATCTCGAGGGCTAGTGTGGCGGCGTATCTAGTGGATGCTGCTGAGAAGAGCACTTGGGATCGAAGCACTCCGGTGATAACGAACTAATGGGTTGTCCCGGTACTGTATAGGTCTCATTATTATCTCTTATTGTGTGGGGCTGCTCGCGATTGCCTGGCGAACTGGGTAACTCTCGAGACTACCCACAACTTGGTATGACAAGACGCCCTGCGGACATAACGGTGGAGAAATGTCGTGCTTAAGGATCTTGATATTCTGGGCGTGTCAGAGGTGCCAGAGGCTTTACATATTCAACCATCATATTAATAAGTTGCTCGCACCCCTAGTTTGAGAAACCCAGCATGTAGCGGTTGGAAACCAAGGTCTTTTGCGACGGTTGATACTTAGCTAATTAACTATTAATTAATCACTCTCTTTTTTTTCTTACCCTCGGTTGCACGTCTAGACCTAAATGACCGTTTAACTGTAGCTTCAACGCGGTTAACGGAAAAGAACGGCGGGCGGTGAAAACGCACTTTATTTTTAATAATTCAGGTGTTGTAAACCGGAGCTTGCAAATCTGGGGAAAAGCTGCTGGTTAAACATAGTCTTCACAAAATTATCTACATTTAAGTAGATGATTCTAAAGGATAGGGTTTTCCATTTTCTAACGTAGTAGTCGTTCGACTCTCGCCTTTGAGCATGTTAGCGAAACCGTGACCTAGTGTAAGTATAAAAAACTGCTAATGCGTAGTAAAATTGAGACTACTTAGCCAGTTAGCTCCGTTGTTTTATTTCCCCTCTCCTTCACTTGTCTAAGAGGGACGCTTGAGGTATCTCTTTATTCGTAGAAGTAGCTACTTAGAAATAGTTGCTGTAAATAGTGAGAAATTGGCAATTCCGGTGTGGTTGGTAACTCCGGTGTGGCGCACCCACAACGGGACGGTGTGGGTGGGCAGAAAGGCACAGATATCTCGTGACTCGGTTCTACTGTCTGCTATTCGTATGGTTGACGACTATGCGTTGGCGAGTAATACTACTGAGAACGTGTTCCCGGTCGCACCCCATCAAAAAACTCACCAATTTTGACTACGCCAAGACCGGACTTCTTGGGTTTCAAATACTCTGAAAATGAAACTAGAGTTAAATTACGATAAGTTCTATAAACTGTGAGAGTTTCAAGTCTCTACCTCTACTAAATCTATATGGTATCTGGCGCCAAAATGGGTCTGGTACGAGGGCCCTTCCCGCAAAGTGGAGCTATAGTTAAAAAATTAACCCTAACTGGTATGTGGCAGATACCACCCACCCCTATGGGATAGGCTTAAGAAACGTGGCCGAATTAGGTATAGACTACCCGCTAGGTTAGGTCTTGGCATCCCCCATCAAAAATCCACCACCAAAATTCGACCCCTTAGGGTTTAGCCCTTCGAGTAAGAAATTCTACAATCTAATTTCACAGAAAGTTAGTTCAGACAATTCTGATAAAACATCAAAAAAACCCGATCAAAATATCTTAAGATTTAATCTACTTAGAGAGGGGGGGGCAAGATTTTTATGCCCCCCCCCCTTTGCCAAGACTTTTTTACTATGTGCCCCCCCCGGGGGGCAGGGCCCGAATATCTTTAGGCGCCTCGGGGCGTTTCTTAGCTTCCATGCGAAGGACCTAAGCCCTCATACATAACGTATCCCACAAGCGAGCTGCGTACCTCAAAAATGACCATACTAAATACCATATTTCATGACCTTGTATCTCAACACTAAGAGTCTTTTTTTGCTAGATTATCGGTATGCTGATATTTAAGAATATAATCGATAGCGTTTTGGACTTTTAAGTCATTGTGCATCAAATTACAGTCAACTCCCGCTTTTAGCACGCCCGGAACTGGCATTTTTCCGGTTCCGGCACGATATTCTCTTGCACAGCCCCTTTTCCCATATAAACCTACCACTTCTGACACATTCAGTACGTGCCAGATTTTTTCCTCCAATCTCTGCTTAGTCATACAATATAGACCAATCAGAATGCAGAATTCCGTCTCCCTCTCGGCGAAGATGCCACCCCTCCCCAAACGCTCTAACAAGGGCATATCGGACGCTCAGAAAAAAGCTCTACGCGCCTTTGTATCCGATACGCACCCTCGACCATCTTAAAGAGCATGTGTTGAATGGTTTAAGTCCCAGTTCGATCGTCTGATTGATCGAGCTACCGTCTCGAAAATCCTTTCATCCAAGTATGATCATCTTGATACTAGTCTAGCTAGTGTCCGTATGCGTCCGTCGATGTCGCAGTGGCCTATACTAGACTAAGCTCTGTTCGAATGGTAGCAGCGACACTAGGATGCCGGCTTTCCGATAACAGGCCCACTACTTCGGATGAAAGCGATCGAGTATTAGAAGAAAATACCCGAATATCAACATCTTCCACTTCCCTTGTTCTCGGATGGGTGGCTTACTCGGTTTAAAAAACGGCATCATCTTCGGCATTATACCTTCCACGGCGAAGCTGCATCAGTCCTAACGTTAATACACGAAGATATCAAAGCCCTCCGGACGATCTGTGGCTATTATCAGAAGGAGGATATCTATAATATGGACGAAACTGGGCTTTTCTGGCGTCGTATGCTAAATGGTGGCCTATCGACGCAAAACCAGGCCGGTCGGACGTAAGATAAGGCCCGAATCACTATAGTAGTTACGACGAATGCTACTGGTTCAGATCGAATGCCACTATGGTTGATTGGTATAGTAAAGACGCCGCGCGTACTTCGGAAGATTAATACCCGAGCGATTGGGTGCGTCTGGCGCTGGAACAAGAAAGCATGGATATGCGGTGATATCATAGGCGAATAGCTTCGCGCGTTTTATAAGCATATTGGTAAGCAAAGACGCGTCCTACTCTTAATGGATAATTTCAGCGCGCATCTATCTGCCCTCGACTATGCGCCACCGCCGTCTAATATCAAGGTGCTCTTTTTTCCGGCAAATGCGACGTCGGTTTATCAGCCATTAGACTAAGGAATCATCCAGAATCTAAAGCACCATTATCGGAAGAAGTGGATAACATAGATGATCAATATGATTGATCGGGGTGTTAATCCTGGAGAGAGAATGAGCCTATACTATACGCTCTACTGGATTACCCAGGTTTGGCGTAACGACGTGCTTGATCGGACAATACAGAACTGCTTTGAAAAAAGCACGATCATTTATTCGAGCACCAATCAGTTACCTGAGCCAGAATCGCTTAAACTTAGGTTATCATTCACTCCCACTCGTCCTTGGAAGGTCCGTGTAGGTCAATATATCTATCTGAGGATCCCTATTATTCGCCTTCTTTCGTTCGCGGAGTCACATCCACTGAATATTCTTTGGTAGGAGGAAGATAACACAGACGGGAAAGCCAGTCGCATAACAGTGCTTGCTAAAGTTGAGTCAGGATTCACTAGGCGATTAGAGTCTTGTCCATATAATTCTTTGCGAATCCTTCTCGATGGTCCATACGGCAAACCGAAAGATATAGTTCACTATGACAACTTTGTCTTCATCGCTACTAGCATTGGAATCTCAGCATAGCTTGCTTATCTAAAGGAGCTGATTATGCGAAAGGATCGTAGTTATCGCTTAAGAAGAGTTTGCCTAGTATGGCAAGTTAACTAACAAGGTATGATTCTATAGAATAACTTAAAAGAATTGTGATTAACTAATAAATAGCCCATAATGAATAGATTTGTGACTATATAAATCAATTACTCGACTTGGACAAACCGGAGTTGGTGAGATGCAGCTCCCTGCACTTGTTATAGAGTCTATACTGATCTAGACAAGGTACTCCGTTAGGCTTTATTTGTTAACTCAAGCCCTCTAACAGGCCATTCTACGAAAGGCAATATGGATTTTGTAAACGAAAGCGGAAGGCGTGGTCTTAAGTTCTACGGAAAGCCAGATCTGAAAGGCATTCTCAAAAATGAAGTGGAATTATGCCTAAGAAAACTTCTCCTCGTGGGTAAGGATCAATACTCTATTTGATAGATCCTTTGTGAAAAGACTCTGATCTGATGTTTCAGTTTCCGCTGACCCACAAACACGAGACACGTGTCGGTATCTCGCTTTGAAGCAAAAGAAAAAGATTGATTTTTTTGAAACAGAATTTCAACCGGCCCCGGCAAAGGGAGGATTCTGGGCTCCAGAGAGGGGGACCAATCAAGTCATGGGGACAATGAGCCAAGTTAAGGGAACACTGTGGGCTGGCAAAGCAGCAACCATTCATGCCGTCTGACAATTTCTTGGATATTCTCCATGGCGACGAATGAAGGTTCCCTCCAATGTATCTAGAATTACAATTTTAGTATTATACATTAAATGCTAGCATGCGCCTAACGACAGCCGGTTTTGGCCTCATTTTCTAGTTCACAACGTCGTATGAAATGAGGGAAGATCGTGGTCCGCCCTACGACAGGCTTAATCGAAAGCAGCCTTGCATAGGGAAGAGTGGTCTGCCGGGGCTAACTGAGAGAAGCAGCTTTGCTTGTGGTAGGCTTAAAGAGGGAGGAAGCTTGTAGCTAAGAGGGAAGGGGAAGCTTATAGCTTAGAGGAGGGGGGAAAGGTGTGGTCGTCCCTACGATCTGGTCGATCCAGAGAAGCAGCTTTGCTTGTGGGAGGCTTAAAGAGGGAGGAAGCTTGTGTAGCTTAGAGGAAGGGGGAAAAGCATGGTCGGCCCTACGATCTGGCTGATCTAGAGAAATAACTTTGCTTGTGGTAGCTTAGAGGGGGGGAAAACGTGGCCGGCCCTACGATCTGGCCGATCGAGAGAAGTAACTTTGCCTGTGGTAGCTTAGAGAGGGGGAAAACGTGGTCGGCCCTACGATCTGGCCGATCGAGAGAAGTAACTTTGCCTGTGGTAGCTTAGAGACGTGGTCGGCCCTACGATCTGGCTGATCGAGAGAAGTAACTTTGCCTGTGGTAGCTTAGAGAGGGGGGGAAAAAGGTGGTCGGCCCTACGATCTGGCCGATCGAGAGAAGTAACTTTGCCTGTGGTAGCTTAGAGAGGGGGGGAAAACGTAGCCGGCCCTACGATCTGGCCGATGGAGGTGGTAGCTTAAGGAGGA